GCTGGACAGTTTTTTTTTTTTTTCCGGTGGCCCCTCGTGTCCTGAAGCGCGGCAAAACCACCGCAAACCAAGTCAATTAGCTCACGTTCACCGTCGCTGATTAGAGGGGACCTAGACGGCTGAGGGATGGTAGCCTAAAAGATGTGCCCTCTGTCCTTTTTTTCTCTGGTTTTGAGTCATTTGAGTAGTATAGGGCTGGGAGTTTAGGGTAGCAGGGCGTCCGAAACCCGAACATTTCTGCATGAGTGCTGGAATTCGGAAACAGTCTTTGAGCTCCACTCCCAATCCCAGGCATTCTGCTTCCCAAAGCTCCCTCAGGACTGCAGGGCTTGCAGACGGCAAGATGAATTGGAAAGAAGCACAGAGCAACGAATACACCCCTGGTGAAGTGTTTGTCGTTGATATCGAATCTATTCCTGGTGCTGTCAACATTGGAGCCATCTTCTCACCCAGATGCTCAATCCTGGGATGGCGAGACGTGTAATCTGCGCTCACAATGCAGTACGAGGCCCAAGCGTACCAAATCCCGCGAGCATCTCTCAAGGGATGCTAAGGGCTACGCGCAAAAGACTGGATGATGCCGGTGCCTCCAAGCCTAGCAAGCATCAAGAAGAGTAGGTACTACGTTGAGCGTTAGGAGCTCCTGCAACTTCCAGCCTGCCTGCCCGAAGGAAAAGAGGTCTGTTGTCATGAGGCTATGCGGGTTCTCAGGCTACACGGCCCTGTGTTGGACAAGATTTGCCAAGTCTGTTGTGTTCTGTCGTTTGCTCGCGGCTCGGCTGACAGCGTGAATCTTATGCAAAAAGCCAGNNCAAGCATTTGGCTTTCAGCTCCACCCCTCCCTGTGCTCTTTCTTGCTCCTCTTCGTCATGACCTGGGTCTACAACTTCTGCTCTGGGAATGCGGACGGCCGAGCCGAGATGAAGAACCTCCTGGGCGGCAAGGGTGCCAACCTTGCAGAGATGGCCTCGATCGGGCTTCCTGTTCCGCCTGGCTTCACCTTGACCACGGAGGTCTGCGCATATTACTACATATTACTACCAGAACGACTGCCAGTATCCTGCTGACCTCAAAGAGCAGGTGACCAAGGCCTTGGCTCTGGTTGAAACAAGGACCGGGAGCAAGTTCGCAGATGCCACGAATCCCTTGCTTGTTTCGGTGCGCTCCGGCACGCGGGCCTCCATGCCTGGGATGATGGACACTGCTGGAAAACGTTGGGCACCAGCTGGAGAACCATTACAGGGACATGCAGGACATCGAGGGTTGGACTACGTCTCTTGCTCGTCCTTCCGCGTTCCAATTGCCCGCCTGGCTGCGGCCCAAGCGGCATTGAAATCCCAAGGTGAGAAGACTCTCCAGGCCTCCACGAAGGCAGCCCGCCCCAGGCAGCAACGCTTCGGCCCGTGGTGAGTTCGACTCGGTGCCATGAGATCTCAAACCTCGCGACTCCGGTACATCTTTATGCGCAGGTTACCAGTAAATGCCTGGTGCCCTCATCTCAAGATTGTTTCAGTGAATCGCGGATGCACCGCATCGACACACAGCTGCAGTATGTGCGGATTTTGGTGCGCGTCAGTCTTGATTGCAGGGCACAGATACTGCAAGGTAGTTGACGTCCAAGTACAATCTAGTCGTTGGAGCTTTGAAATCATTGAATAGCTTTGGCAGATCCAACGTAGGAGTAGTCTTGGGTCATTCTCCAAAAGACAGCAAGGGGCCTCAAGCATTAGCAGCATTTGGGAAGTCCTTGTGGATGAGCCCCTCCTATTTTTGGAAATTTCCCTTTCTGTCATGGCCATGGAGGCTGCCTGTTTCAAGAGGCTTTGAAAAGCAGTGTGACAGCAGCTTGGCGTTCAAGTGTTGAAGATCACTCGCTCGCCATCGGCAGGATGCCCCAAAAAAGCCAAGCAGCTGTGGCTGCTTTGCCTGAAGGTTTGAAAGAAGCCTTGGTTTCGTTGTCTGTTGCCGTATACCTCGCCTGACTTCGTCGAGCGCGAGTGCCACAAAATGGCACAGCAAGCATGTAAGTTCATGTAAGCATTCCCCAACTTCATGCACTGTGGATCCATATCTACCCACTGCACTGCGTGGGTGGGGCCTAGACTCCTAGACTTGCCGTAGATTGCATTAGATTCACATGCGAGATTTCGGCAAATAGGAACCCGGACCACCCAAAACATTGACAAACCCAAGCTTGAAGAAACTATCGCAATCCCTCGTGGACAGCTGGGCCATGACGCTGCTTGAGGCTGCACCTGAATCGAGGTGAGCCCTCTCTGATCTCACACGAAGCTTATTAAGTCAAGAATGGCTGTTGCAGGCTTCGGTTTACTTCGGCCCGCTGATTGCATGTGTTCGGACCACGAGATACCTGCTGCCACAGCAGCAAACAAATTAAGGTCGGCGAGACTGATCGACATCCGTGCTTTGCTGGTGGCCCGTGGTCTGTGCCACATGAGCAGAACTTTGCAGTTAGATTCATTTAGACGGCAAGTTCTGGTTCCATACTGTATCTTGTGCACGTCTTTTCCGCCTTTGGGATGCGAGCATCGCGCTTCAATCGCTGGTTGCACACCACTGCAATCTTTCTGAATCCGCTCGCCAGGATGCATTGGCCACGGATCACTGCAATGCCTGTATGGGCAAGGGGCGCTTGTCCTAGATGTAGCAGCTTTGGATTTAGCAAGCGGCGGGTACTATGCAACAACAGCCTAGCAGCCTTGCAATCGTCTCCGGGGCATTTGCTCAGGCTCGGTTGCATTGTTTTCAGCGCTTTTCGTTCTTGGGATTCATGTTAAACGAGCATGGATCGTGCGGCCTACCACTCTTGTCCGCATTGTTTTGCCACTTCTTAGTTCCGAGATGCGAGAAGACTCCGTCGTTTTGAGGCCTGCGCCCGACTTCTCGGCAGTTCCGGGGATCTTGAAGGAGGCTGTGCCGTTCAGAAAGGTGCATAGTTAGTGCCGGATGAACCGTTTAAATGTCAAACGCAAGTCGTCCCGGAGGTCGCTGACATGTATGACCAGCTGTCACTACCGGACCGCCACTCTGGCAGCAAATAGGCCACCACAACTTACAACTCATTACAACTCGCTAGGCCACCGGGCTGAGCAGCCGGCAACCGACCGGCTGAACCCAGACTTGGAAACACATTCGTTCAGCTTACCAAGGTTGTGCTGCGTGATGCGTTGCACATCCACGGGACTGCAATGATGTTCAGGTCTGAAGGCTGATATGATGGTTGGCTGTGGCTGGATCCTTACACATGCGGATCAGCGAGGTTCGGGGGCGAAGCTTGTTTTTTTTTTTATCCCGGCGGCCAGGCGTCGTTGGCATTTCTTGTGCTTTGGGGTGCTGTTGTGAGCCAGGGACGGAGGGAGGCATGGTCGAAAGATGTCGAAAGAGAGCCAGACAGGCCTGACTCGTTGCCCAGCACTCAATAGCAAGTATGTCGGTGCTTTCCTACGTTTTGTTCACGACCCAAGGCCATCTCCGTTTAGACAGGCGGTAGTTCTGTGACGGCGCACAAGCCCTGTGAAGACATCAGCGGAACGCACCATCAAAGCACGAAAGTTAACAGCTAGCTGGCTATTCTGATCAACCGACGCTTCTAGTTGCTGCTTCCACACAACTACACCCTTCTGAGGCCTAGGACGCAGCACTGTATAATGTAAGTGGAGCCCCCCCTCAAAATTCTGTTGGATCTGGTCCCGGAGTCGTGTCGTGCTCGATGCAGTGCAGCCTGCAAACCCGAAGCCTTGTCTGTATTGATCTCGACGTGTTTGGAATTGTTTGCGTCTCGAGCTTTATTTTGGCGTTGTGGAGGCTTGTTGGAGTCATGCGTGGTGCTAGGGTTCTTGTTCAAGGCAATGGTTGGATTTGCTGGTGGAGAGACTCAATGAGGTGGCCCCTCAAAGTAGCTCCCTAAGAAAGCTGACCTGTTGGCGCATGACTTGACCACACTCCCCAATCCCGCGGACATGAAGCACCGTGCAATGGTGATCCAAGTTCCGAAGTTCCGAGGCTGGCACATGCTGAACGAGGAAGACAAAGCTTTGGAGCCCTTGATGCGGGTCGTGCACTCCACCGCAGGCGTCAAAGGGGTAGCAGATGTGCGCTTGAACTATGTTCTTCTCCGAATGATCATTACCATGATTTTAAACCCCTTCATGCCCGCATGCGTCTGGCATAGTTTAGTACGTATTCTTATCAGGGAGGCGAGGCATGCTTCACGACGCAGGCCTGGAGGCTGGGGACCAGATCTCTGCCATCCTGGTGGACCTTACCTCAAACAGGGGCGCAGGGGTGCATCTTCCGGATCCTGCTTCATGTTCCCCCAGCCCACCCCAGAAATTGGTGGTACGGCTGCGGCTTGGAATTTGATTGCGATGTTTCAGTGTCTAATAGATTTTGTCAGGGGTTTGCTACGGCCTGCAAGGACCGCACACTGCATGTCACTAAACGGGCCATATTTGAGACAGCGCGGACGTGTGGCCAGCAATCGGACGAGGAGCTAGTTCTGTTCAAAGCTTGTCGAGGCCATGCAGCTCCTTCGGAAGAAAAGCCGCTGGGGCCAGATCGTGCAAGCAGGTGGTCATGCAGATTGCGAGCAGGACGGTTTGCCTACCCCCTCTTGCAGGTGACAAGGCCTTCGAGGTTGCCGGTGGGAAATGGGTGGCTTGCTCGGATGTTCTGCTTCGCGTCATAGTTCCTGCAGTTGCGGGGAAGATTGCTGCGTTTCGGCTCTACAGGCCGTCTAGCATTGGAGCAGCTCGAGTCCTGAGTAGAAGGCGACAACTTCCAGCAAGAGCATGATTTGCGCACCGGAGATGGTCGGCATTCTGCTCATGGTTGCCTCCGGTGTGTCCGTGACGTGTGAAATGGTTACCAGTAAAATCATTGAGAATATGCATTGGCCGTACTGGTGCCTTCTGGCAGCCTGCTGCACTGGGGCAGCTTTGGCGAACGGGACGTACCTATGCTGGGCAGGTATCGGTTGCCCGAAGAAGCAAGACATCAAGTGGGTGGTCGCAAGGGCACTGTTCGAGAATTTGCACTGGATGTTAGCCATCTGGGCAGTACTAGTTGGAGCGGCCCCGGGAGACGTGGCAGCATTGACCAGCATTGACATCATGGCTGCAGCTTTCCTGGGCCTGATATTCCTAGGTGAAAGTGTGACCATTCTCCATTTCGTGGCCCTTGTTGTTTCACTTACTGGAGCTGTTTGCATCTCTCAGCCACAGTTCATATTCGGAGCTTCGGAACAGACAGAGCAGTCCCCTCTTGGGTATTGCATGGCTTTGCTATCCGGATGTTTCCAAGCCGGTGCGTTTGTTTGTGCAAGGAAGTCGAAAGACATCCCAGTCTCTGTGCTCACAATTGTCTCTCTGTTGTTTGCGGTGCTGTTGGCCTTTGTGCCACCACTTTTGGGCCTCAGTTCTTCTGCACACGATGCTCTCCAAACTATCCAGGAGGAACCGTGGCATGCTTTGGGGCTTCTCGCTATTCTGACCATATGGTGCGTGTTCTCAATTGTGCTTCCTGCAGCAGGTGCCACAAGATGTCCAGCTGCCGTCAGCGCGACCGTTTTCACATCCTCGAGTATGATCTCCGGATACATAGCACAGACAACGATTTTCAACGACGCACCGACGCCTCTGAAGCTGCTTGGTGCAGGGTTCATGCTGTCAAGTGTGGTGATGATGGCGGTCCGATGCCGCGACCACGACACAGCCGAAGAGCGCGAGGCATCCCGCGCGGAAGAGCACAATCCTGCATCGACGGCAGACGAGACAGACAGCCTTGGCTCCTTCGTCGCCTCCGAGGTGTCTTTCGGGAAGTCTGGTCGACTCCGACGCAGAGGCACCGTGTACAGCAATACGCCGACGCCACAGCGGCTCGGATCCTGTCTGCCCATATTTGCCGTCTCTTCTGCCTGACTCAACTCGGCACGTCGAGCCGCAACTGTCTCCCAAAATCTGCACAGTTCGACAATGTAAAGGGCCTACATGGGCCAACGGCACAGACTCTGTGGCTCTGCCTCAACGTGCAAAAACCCACCCAGGGTACTGATTCTTTTCTCCAAGCAGCCCTGCAATGCATAGAGTTAATAATAATATTTGAAGATGATGGAATATACCTTTAGAATTTAGAATAAGACAAGAATAGCATATTCTGTACTTCAAGCTCCGCCTGGTTGGCCTCGTCGCTCGCCCGTGCGCTTCTGAGAAGGCTGGATCCTGCAAGCTGCATGTCCTCAGTGTCCTCAAGAGCTATGTACCGCAGACTTTGATAGTTCGCATCAGCACAAGATGCGAGTTTCGAACCAGATTTCCAGACGCGTGACTGTGGCCATGGGCGCCCCGGCTGCCCCATCGAATGCCACTGCAACTGCATGCCTCCTGCCGCAGCAACCTGGTTGTGTGTGGCTTGTCGGGCAAGCGACTCTTAGCTCGATTAGCCGATTAGCAGTGCACTGCCTTGTAGATGTATTGTGTATATGTTCCCGAGTGACCGGTCCGACCCCCAAAATATTCCGCTCCTCGAAAACAGCCCACGAATGCCCGATCCCTGTGACAGTTGGTTTGAAGATATAAGTTTAAGTCTCTGAAGCTACAACTCCCTGCTCGTATGGCGAGTATGGACGAGACTGTTCGGCCACGACGAAGACCTCATGACGTCATCTAAAACCCGACAACCTTCGTGAGGATCCGGGGCCTGGGTGTCCAAAGTTGTGACAGAAAGACTGTAATCATGATGCCTCGCCTGACTTGGTCGAGCGCGAGTGCTAAACAAACCATGATCGCAGCTGGAGTACGCCTGAGTACGCCCCGCCGGAGAAAACAGCAAAAAAGCCAAGCCCGATCAGATGTGGTTTTGACAAGCGTACCACGTGCGTGATGTGGTGGCCGAGAGAAAACCATGCTTGCTACGACTAGCCGCAAAGACCACTTTAGAGGGAGGCGGGGGTGAGGGGATGAGCTGGGGGCTTACATCGGCTTGTCACATCTGACACAGGATACTCCGGCGTGGCAGAGTTCCACGAGATGCTGAAGCCACTACTACCTGCTGGGGTAGCCGCTTGGAGCAGGACGGCATGCACCCACTGGACTGGGACGGAGCCGAAGCAGACGCACTTGTGTAGAAATGCTGGGACATGTCATCGGTTTACGTTGGTTCAAGCCCTTGCTGTGAAAGCTTGCGATCGCTGAGGTGTTGATTCCTCGCGACGGGCTGTGCTCACTGGAGGCCCTGCACCGCTACGTGAGGCGGGGCGACCTGACGAGCTTGTAAGAGAGCCATCCCGGTGCCTGCAAGCAGGACGATTTCTTGATAAAACATAGCTTATCGCGATTGTGTATCGCTGATGTTCGGTAGTTCTTGAAGGTGGGCGCCTGCATGTTTCTTCATCCGCATCGAGGCTGCCCCCAACGTGCGGGAGGCATGGACCGTCGTTCTTTCCAATTGACGTACGTGCATGTGGCGGACCGACAGGAACAGAATGTCCATGAGTCATGAGCCCTTATCGCCGCTATCTGCGGAATTGCGGACACACTTTCTTTAGACTGGGAGGCAAACGGCTGGAGAAGCAAATTTGGACCAGAAGACCTGGTTCGGGACGAGCATTGGACAGAGGCCTAAAGTGGTACTGTGTGCCGGGGCTTCTTGGTCGAAGTCTCACTTTTCTGGAAGATTCAATGGCGTCCCCTCAGCCACCGTGAGCACGGCTCGCTGCACAGGTGGGCTTAGATGACTGGGATGGTTGGGACGCTGCAGCTTGGCCTCACTGCGGAAATATTGAATGGTGATTCTCGCAGATCTGCCTTCATGCAGGACTGGAGCAAGTTTCAGTGTATCAATTGCTATGCAAGTCGACGGATGCACTGTTCACTCAGAGGCGTCCTGTCACAGTCTGCGTTGCCGACATCCGGAAGGTGGTGCAGCATGATGGAAACCAACAAACCCTGCTTCGAACTGTTGGGGGCTCGGGTTCCGTGATGTTTTTCGCCTTCTCGTGCGTACTGGTTCCAACTGGGGAGCCATGAGGCAGAGGACTTGGCTCCACGTATCGCAGCGCTTTGCCAGACACCGGTGTCGTGCAAGCACGACTTTTTGTTATGGAGTGCTTAATGCTTAATCAGCGAAGAACCCCCCTTCCCCCCTCGAGTAGCACGCTCTTTGCCAACCTCTTCGCTCTTCCAACGATGCAGCAGTGCCTCGTCTGTTGTGGTGACCCCGTGACCTAGGCACTGACGAAGCACCGACCTATTCCGGAGACTTCTGTAAAGCGCACGGAGCTCCTGAACTGCATCGAGGTAGCGCCGCCTGCCGACTGCTCTTGACCAGTTCACAGCAAGTGAGGTTCACTACGCCCATGCCACTCAGACTGCAACGTCAGGTACATGATGGTACATGTATGCAGGTACATCTCTTTAGAAAGCACCGGGCAGATTCAACGACAGATGGATGATACATTTATAGAGGAAACCTTATAAGGGCACCCCAAGGACTAAACCCGGAAAGATACCCTTAAAGGAACCCGGGACACCTTGATGCTCTGAGGCCGGACTGCATGAAGTTCGGCGGAGCAGAAGCCTATGTCCCCTCGCAGCCCATCGCGCATGCAGAGGCAAGATACTAACACGGCAGTAAATCGCAGCAATAAAGGATATGGGGTTGTGGAAAGCCGCGACATCTTGATGCAAGATCGCTGCAGGCTAGAGGAGCTTTACGGTTTTTCACCCCAAAGTGCCAACAAGTCTGTCGCTGTCAACGCGTTTGGTCAGCACATGCCTGGAGAGGAACTCGATAGCCTGCAGTCGCCTTGAAGAGGTCGAAGGAGCATCGGCTCGTGTCCAACATGTTCGGGCAGAGCAAGTTCCAACTAGAGGCTGGTTCTGCTCGTCTTCGTGAGAAAGCCCACTTCAGGGTGCTTCGACACCTGCTGCCCGCTTCCAAGGCAGCCCGACACAGCCTGTGCAAAGACCCGAGAGCCCGGACAACCTCGATGAACTCGACCAGCTGGAGATGCGCTCTTCAAACTCGGCATGTGTGCATGCTTTGTTTCTGCAGTCCGCATTTTTCACCCAGACGACCTTCAAGGCAGCGAGCTTCAGCCATTCGATCCCGCAAAGCCGAAAGGTGTCTCAAGGTCAAGTGTACTTGTTTGCCACTGATCCTGACCCTGTCTCGATAGCTCCAGGAGGCAAAGCCGGCTGCAAGCAGCCCACCCGACGACCATCCGCCAGCAGGAGACAGGCCCAATGCTTGGTGCAGTGCGGCTTCCAGTTTCTCGAATCTTGTAAGCTGCGATCGTAACTGTGAAAAGTCGGAGATGCGATTGCATCGATGTGGTAAACATGAAAGAAGGTAATTTTAACGCTACGCAGCCCGCCTCGGCTGCTGAGGGGCAGAGGGCACGGGACACACGTCGGTAGCGTTGGTGCATGTCCGCAGCAGAAGCCCAGAGCTTGTGGGAGTAAGACAGGAGTTTCTACTGGAATAAAGAGCCTCTTCAAAAGTTACCTGCCTGTCACCTGGGCCAAGCTGGGGAGAGGGCAGGGCAAGGGGAGAAAAAAACGCAGAAAAACAGCAAGAAGTGAGGGGGTCCAGAAGACAAAGGCCGACAAGTGAGGTAAAATCAGGCGAAGCCGGGCGGGGGGGTGGAAAATGGACGCCAAAAGCGGGTGACTCCAACCACTTCCAACCATGCAGAGAGGAGGATTAGCCCCCAAGACGCCTGGGCCGGTGGCCTCGGCAGATAATAGTAATTCGGCCGTTTCTTTTGAAAGGGGTGGGAGAGGGCGGTAGGGAGGGCTTTTTGATCGAGGTTTGGCGTGGACCAGATGTGGCCACGGCTCCTCAAGGCAGACGACCTTGAAAAGGCGGCACGAGAGCAAGCACGATGAGTGGATTTCCTTCAGCCTCTTTCCAAGTTCTTCGAAAGAGCAAGGTGGATGCTAACTTCTTTGGGGGCCCTGGCTTGCAGGGGACTGCGTGCAGTCATCGCCAAGACTGCTTTTCGTGATGGCCAGTTGCCCATTTCCTGGCCAGGAGCACATCTGTTATGGCACCTTCTTCTGGGACGTAGGCGTTGAAGTCGTGCACCCTGGAAGAGCGAGCTCTCTGGTGAGAACATGGTCCCCAGCTGCTTCGGAGTTGCAAGTCGCGACAGCGGAGGTACCACCTCTCCGGGCGGAAGCTGAAAGCGGAGGGCGATGCCACCGGCGAGCGGGAGACTAAGCCACTTTGTTTCTTGCAGAAGGGCCTTCAGAGGCAGGATGCCGAACGGGGGTCGGAGGTCAGAGGCCTCCTAAAGGAGCAGCGCACCCGCATGTCCAAGTCCCAAGTCCCAAGCTCGAATTCCTCTGAACAGACCGAGGCCCCTGCTCTTTGTTGGGCAGCTGCGCGGAGTGCGGGGCTTTGGGGAAGTTGGGAGCGACAACCTGGGATGTCCGAGCAGCGAGGAAGCATGTAGAACGAGTATGAGTGAGTATACATTAAAGAATTATACTTCTTTCATTATCACATACTGTGAAGTAGTGAGGGTGCGGGATGCCATCCTGGTAATGCAGGGCGAGTTGGAGTGCTCGCTGTATCTGCGTAGATGTTGCATACCATGCTGGGAATCCGGCTGCATGCTCTCTCAGCTGCTTGCGTGTTTTGCTCAAAACCGATGTGCAGACGCAATTCCCTTTCAGAAGTCATCATCGTCGATGCTAGCCGTGCAGCAGGTTCATCTTACTTGACCTGCTCGTCGTAAGACTTGGAGAATGCTTGGGTCAACCAACATGGTCCGCATGTTGGCTGCTGGCACCACAAACGTGGACGAGGCATCACGCTGCAAGGGCTCTGAACCTGACGGATCCTGGAGACCTCGTGGCTGTCCCATTCTGCCTGGATCCTGGCAGGCTCGCCCCCCTGCTGGCGCGCGACGCCGTTGTGAGCCGGGATGCTACGAAGGCCGTTCTGTTCTTGCAGTTTCTCGGTGCTTCTCCGTTTCTGCTCCAGCCAAGATGATAAACGATTCTCGGCTTCACGAGAGTAGCAAAACATTAAGCCTCGAGGCTTCAGGCGGCTTCGAGGCTCCTGACTGATGGCTGCTATGCCTGCCATGCCTGCCATGTGGCGGCTTCTGGGAGCGTGCCTGGCAGTTCACCAGGCCTGGCACGCTGAGGCCACTGAGGAAGCGGAGACTTGTGCTACGAGCCACTGTGAGCCCAGAGAGGGCGCGAGCGCGGGCTCGGGCCGGCAACACTGGTGGCCTTATCAGAAGGGCACTCCGGGTCGAACGGGCTATTCGCCGTATGCCATGCCCGACATCACCAAAGGCCCTGCCTGGACGCAAGAGGTACCTCATGGCGACCTTGTTCGGTCCACTCCGCTCATTGACGACCAGAAGAACATCTATGTAACGACTATTGCGGGCAGAACCTACAAGCTCAACGTGGATGGCAAGGTCCTGTGGAGTCATTACACAGGTAGCCGGGGAAGTGTTCCAGGAGTGCCCTCCCTGTTGGACTCGGTGATGCTAATGCTCACGAAGAACGGCCATCTGATTGCACTGGACTTGGACACCGGTGTAGAAAGATGGGAGAAGCAGATAGGGACACGAGTGGCTACATCGGCCGATTGTGCTCTCCTGACCCAGGGGATTCTAGTCGTTGCGGTGATGGACCCAGAGCCTTTGAAGCTTCGGACCGATCCGATGGCGGAATATGTCGCAGAGAACAATCGCCTTCTGGGATTGAGTCTGGACGATGGATCTTTTCGTTGGAGCTTTGCCCCGAAGCAAAACACCTACAACTTTCAGGGATCCACGATACATGATGGTACCTTTGTGTTTCAGGACGTGACCGGTGGCGTCTATCGGGTGTCTACGGAGGGCCGCTTGATCTGGCATTCTGCGACACCTGACAGAGCATCTGCCACAACTGCAGCCGCTGTGATCCACGATGGTCGCGTTTTCGCTGTGAGTAACCTTGGTGGTGGGCCTCAGCTGCTTGGAACGGAGGGCAAAGGGCTTCTTCATGTTTATGGCTACGAAGACGGTACATTTCTTTGGTCGCAGGATCTCCCCTACGAAGGCAACCAAGCTGTTGCAGTGGGCGATCTGGTTGGAAGCAAGGGCAGGGCTTCTCTGATTCTCGGTATGGGCAAGAACCCTGGGCTGCCCGTGCTCGTGAACTGGGGTATGGTGTTGGCTCCCATTATCGGTGTCTTGGCTTTGTTCCAGGGGTTTCACGGGATCAGCACGTGCTCTTTGGCAATTTTGCAAAAGGCATCAGCATAAGGCTAAGTGGCTAAGTCACGACGGTGATTACAACAGCGAAGCCGACTCAGGCCTTAAGGCGGCCACGATGTTTCTGCTGCCCTTCCACTGGCTGAGCATTTCTTTCCCGTCTCTCTTCGCAAAGAAGCAGGGTCGTTCGATCGTGGCCTTGGACGCTGCCACGGGCAGTGTCCTCTGGTACCATGAGATGGAGCCCTACCAGCGCCCTGCCGCGATGGGCGATTCCGAGCTGTTTTTGGAGCGCTTCCAGAGCACAACGAATGGAACTAACCCCAACAACGAGCCATGGTGTCTCCCTGACGCCAATGCGCAGCCCGTCATCGACGGAGCCGGCACCGCTCTCGTCGCGTATCAAGATGGGAAGATTTATGCCGTAAGAGACGAAGATGGCGATGGCAAGATCTCCCCGGAGGAGGTCAAGGAGCACCTGGTGGGCGCGGCTTTCCAGGCTTCCGCTGCCATGGCGCCGAACCTCCTTGCGGTCATCGACTGCAGCGGCCGCCTCGAGGTTTTCCGAGACTGAACGGAGAGGCGGAGAGGCAAAAGGCGGCTGCGCCGTGCCGCGCCCGGCCCCGAAGGTTGACAAGTTTCGAGGGCCTGGCATCTTGTCCCCGTAGGCTCCTAGACCATGAGAAGCTGCAATTCATCTTGTAAATAAACTGGAGCTGCCAACAGCGGCACGGGGACACCAAGCGGAAGCATCAGAAACGAGACTGAGTGTCTATGTTCCCTAATGTTCTGTACATGCCAGCGTGTTGTCACGGTAATATGTACGTCTGGCGAGGAATCCTACTCTGTAGACATAATATATGAGATACATAGTGTAATGTTACATAAAGTGCTGTAGAGTGAGGGGGTGTATAGGATGTCCCGTATGGTGCAGTGCAAGGTACAGTGGTGTGTGTGCGTAGGTGGGCAGGTAGGTAGGTCGGTTGGGAGGGAGGGAGGGAAGGACGCGCCAAGCATGTCACCTATTCGGGTGCGTGCGCGTGTCTCTCTCTCTCTCTCTCTGCGCGTGTGTGTCTGTGTGTCTCTGTCTATTCGCGTGTGTTGTGTGTGTGTGTGCCTATGTTAGTTCAATCTGCTTGAGTCTCTTCCCTGGCAGGTGGCATAAAGGAACTCTTTGAGCTGCCAGATGTGGCCCCGCTGGTCTCCGAGTCTTCTGGCAGCGATTCATCCCAGGGCCCCCCCACCTCAGCGGCAGTTCTGGCACAGAGAAGTCGATGTGGACAGCTCGGCATCTTGCAGTTGTTATGCCCTGTTTTTTTCTGGAGCTTCGAGGTCGCGCGGAGCCTCTGAGGCTGCGAAGGTCTGGCAGGCCACGCAGCGCCAGGCCATGCGGATCAAGCCGCGGCCGGCCTGGCAGCCCCGAGATGAGGCTTGCCGGGACGTAGGCGCTCTAGACTGCGCATGGTCAAACGGGATTTCGGCAGTCCTTTGAAGACACGCTTGGTCAGGGCCAGGGCATGACACGAACCATACGATGAAACCAGTTCTTGCTTTCTCGTCGAAGGTTCCCTTGACGAGACGACGGCAGCAAGAAAAAGAATGGAAGCGGCTCCTGTCACGCAAGCCTCGCGACAGCCGGATCCCGAGTGTGCAACCACTGCGGGAATCGAACGAGCCAGACCCGGTTTACATGCATCACCTGATGCTCGCTTCGTCTCTGCTTCTTTCATGCACGGCCGAGGTCATGCGAGTGCCAGTGCTTGCAGTGCTGCTACACGATCAAGTCAGGCTGCTCGACTCGTCTGGTGTGGGGGGGGGAAGAGTTCGCACACCAGCAGGCACTTGCCTGGTTTATCGAGCATTTCTGAACAAGTTGTTTCACAAACCCGAAAGGGAAGTGGATGTCTGAATCAGCGTGAGGAAACTTCAACAGCAGATTGCCGGCACACAGCCCGAACCGGCAAAGCAGGGTTTGAGGAAGCATGGAATGTAATTGAATCGAGACAGAGATGCGGATGTGCTAACATAATATGCTTCAAGTCTTCAGGTTGACTCGACCCAGACTATGAGAGCATACTTGGACAACACGGGGTTTCCAAGTTACTTCTGCTACGCATGAAGAGCCCATAGCG